AAAAGTAGTAACAGACACAAAAAAAAATAAACACATCATGGTAAAATTAATACCTTCTCAGCTTCGCATCGAAGCTAAAATTTTTTTTTATATATGAATAAATAAATTGGCCTCCAAGGAACATTTATCGCAATAAAAAATATATTTTTCTAAATTATATTTTTTAACAGTTTTCAAATCTGAAATTAGACTTTTGTGTGTAAATTCACAATTTCCTATCTTGAACATTATTTGCACTGCTCACCGCATACATTGTCGCCTTATGATTCGAATTGTTCTTAATAATTTCCGGCACTGGGTATTTAATATTTTTTTGACTCCTACTCTAAAGGATAGCCGTTTTGTTGCCAACAAACCGCCGGTTCAAACGCCGGACATTTTGTCGGGGATTAGCCATAGTCGGAACTGGTCGTACTATTTCCCGTCCATAGCAGTAGATTTAGTTGTTTGCGCTGCAACTTTTGTGGTTCTTATAATACATTTTTTTTGTTCGTGAGTGCCCACTATGTTAAAAATGTAATTTTTTTGTATTACGGCGTCGGTTGAGCCTGCCTCCTATTCTTTAGCCCTTTGGGGCTGGTAATGTATATCTTTTTATAATGTTCTGAGCCAGATTTTTTTTAGTGCGCCGTACCATAAGCACATGTGGTGAATTTTTTTTATATTAAATTTTTATGTAGATGTCCCTATTTAATTTTTTTATTCAGGTCCCTCAACATGGCAGGCGTGTTACAATATCACCTGTTATGTTATATATATTTTTTTTGTATATAGGTTTTGATATTGGGTGATGTGTGTATATCATTAGTACAATGTTGTGACGTAGTGCATTTTATTCCGGAGTGTCCCAACGTCTTGCAAGCTAAGTCTAACTGTTTAAAACCAGTCGCTAACTTGGGACGTATACCCGCCGTGCTTAGCGGTCATGCCGTGATTAATAGCCGATGGGTACCCAAAGACGTTCATCGTATTCTCAATTTGTAAAAGTGTAGGTGTAACTATTTTTTATTAATATCTGTTTTTTTTTCTGTTCCCCTTTAATTTGTAGACGAGGTTTTTTGACCGTTCGGTTTTTTGCCTCGTATTGGGTTAATTTATTTAATAAAGCCCCCTTAATTTAACATAACTATTATCTTTTTTTTTTGCGTGTTCCGCCTTCAATGGACTTGTGTATATTTTTATCTTTTTTCCTGCCAAAAATCAACTCCCCTTAGTTTATAATGTTCGGGCAACGGCCTTGTATAAGGTCATCCCTCATCATCATGGTTATGTGACAACTGTCACGAGGTTTTGGTGTACATCAACTATCAATGACTCAACGGACCTCAAATACAATTTTTTTATTATTTTTTTTTTTAAATTGCTATCAATGCATAATATTTAATATATTTTTTAAATCCTACTAACAATACATTGTCTCGCCTAATGGGTTGGCGACCTTTTTTTGATATTTTTCAATGTGCCATGAAAGTTACAAATTTTCCGTTGTGGCCAATTAATTCAATTTTATTTATAATATTTGTAACCTTTCAAACAAGAATATGATAATCGATACATAAAACTTATAATAATAAGGAAGTATTAAATTTTTCATAATTAATATATGAAAGTACTTTTTTTATAATACTAAAATTAAAAATTTTGTAATTAATTGAAGTTTTGATTTTAATTTCCATAAGTATAGCTTTAAAACATTTCACATTATTATTTCCTTGTTTAAAGGTATATTATTTTACTAAATCAGACCATTGGATCCTATTTGGGATTCTTTTCTAAAAATAAAAAATACCAAAAAAGTTAAATGTAAATTTTATTCGTTTATATATGCATTTTCTATTACAACAATAATGAAAGAGCACATTGGTTTATTATGTAGACATTGTCCTAAAGATTTACATAAGACATCTTAAAAATCCTACCTAAATCTAGTAAGCTAAAAAAAGCATCTTTACTTTGTGCATCAGACAATTACTTTATTGAAGAATGTGTTGATAATCCTACTAGTTAGTTCTATTAGCTTGTTACAAGAAGATAAAACAAAAGTAATTTATGATAAATATTAATAAAAAATTTATAGCGTTAAGTAAATGATGAATACATCATTAGAGTTTATTATTTTAAACTTTATTTTAAGGTTTTACAATTGTCAAAAGTTACTTAATTAATTTTATTACCTGAAAATTGTTCCAATTTAACCAAAAAGTTACATGGGCATCTAATTAAGAATTTTTTAGATAAAATAATACAACTGAACAACAAGTTCAATTAGATACTCAGGTTATTTGTGCTGTCAACCATTCAGAAGTAGCGCTATCTATGTTTGATACTACATATTGGAAATCTTTCTTTAATAGCCTAAGAACTAAATTTAGAATATCTTCATCATATTAAATATAAATGGGTTATAGATAATGTTAAACTCAAGATTAATAAAGCAACATGTCTAGGATTATTAATTGATGGATGGACTAATATTACTGGTTGTGGAATTGTTAACTTTGTCATTATCATAACAGAGCCAGTTTTTTACAGAAGTGTTGTACCTGGGATAAATTGAGATACCGCTGAATATATTAAATATCAAATAGCTAATGTTTTAAATGAGATAGATCATGAAAAATGTTAGCTTATTTGTACAGATAATGCTAGTGCAATGAAAGGTGCTTGGGCAAAAATTAAAGAGGTAACTTTAAACATATTTTTTCTGTAAGATGTCTTGCTCGTGGACTTAATTTGTTGCTCAAAGATATAATATATCTTTGAGCACATATTATGTGCTTTTCCTACAATTGATAAAAATGTGAATTAAACAATTCTAAACTTTCTGAAGGCCATGAAATATTTTCAGCAATTGAGAAATATGTTAATGAGGGAATGGTATTTAACCCTCTTACCAACTCTGAAAAAGATGCTTCTGAAATATCTGATGCTATTAAGACTATTATGTGTATAAGCAACTGGTTAAAAATTGATCAGACTACAATTTTAACAAATTTAGCAGAGTACCGAACAAATACAGGATTTTATGGTGTAGAAAGTTTAGTGTTATTATTTGAACACTGTTCTCCTAATATTTGATGGATAGGATTTAGCAACCAATGAACCATTATGTCCTATTGCCTCCAGGTTACTAAGTTTATCTAGTTCATCAGAATTATGTGAGAGAAATTTTGGCAAAGTACACACTGAATCTAAAAATAGACTTAAAATGGACAGGGTATAGAAACTAGTAGCAATTAGAACTAACCTTAACATATTTCAAGAAAACTGTTCAAATGAAAAAAAAAGAAAAGTCCTAGGTATTCAAGTTATTAATAGTAATATTAATCAAAATAATATTAGTATTAAATCATTATCTACTGATTACACAGATTCTGAAGATGATTTATAGTTGCAATTGCAATATTAGCTCAATAAATAAATTTTGTTTTAAAAGTGATAATAATTTATGTATGTATGAATTATATGTTTTTTTTTTAATTTTAATTGATATAACAGTTATGAAATAATAATTTATATATTTTATTTAATTATGCAATAATAATGGATTTATAATCTACTAAATATTAAAATCAATTGTCCCAAAATTTTAAACTTAATACCGATGAACGTTCCTCAAGTGTCTCTCCGTTCCTATCCAACGTTTTATATATCTATTCATACACAAAACTATAGTAGAAACGCTTCGGTAAATCGAATGTTGAATTTATGTAATAAAATAAATAATTTTGATTTTTATCATGATTCTTCAACATTATTATGGTCTATTTGTTGTAAAACGTTTAATTCATAATACCATAATTACATACACTTTTTTAGCTAACTTGTTTGTAACGTATTTAGTATTATTGAATTTTTATAATCATTTAATTATTAAATTAATTTCACTATGTACTATTTTATATTGTAATTGTTTTTTTTCTATGTTATTATATGTACTATTTGCCACACAGGCGTAATCATCCATTATGATGAAATAAATAAATAAATAAATAAATAGTATTTGGTTTGTTTCATTTTATGTTAAATATTTGAATAGTTATGTTTCTAATGTTGTTAAAAATTCATTTTATAGTAAAAAAGTTTTTCCTAATCTAAATTGTATGTTTTTTTTTTTTATTATTAAACATGTTACATATGAAAAATAAAATTACCAAATATAATCTTATTTTAAATGATTGACATAATGTATTAGACAATTAATAAATGTATTTTAATTGTTAATTAATATTTTATGATGATTAATAATTAAAATTATATGGCAACTAATGGAAAAGTTTAGGGAAAAGAAGAAAAAGCTGTGTATGGTATTTATAGATTTGGAGAAATCATATGATTGNAAAAGAAGAAAAAGCTGTGTATGGTATTTATAGATTTGGAGAAATCATATGATTGAGTACCGAGAGAGGTTTTAAAGTGAGCATTATTGAGAAAAGGAGTCCCGAAAAGATACACGTGAAATTAAATTGATAAATGCTATCGATTTGTTAAAAGCGTCAAACATTTATAAAACAATTGCTACATTATAAATTATTAAAATTTAAATAATAAATGAAGACTTTTATTATTAATCTACAGTTGTATAAACTTAAAATAACTAGAAGCACAATAGAAAATATTTAAATTGATATAATTTTATTACATTAAAAATACTGTATTTGGTAGTTCACTAAAAAATTCGAAAACAAAATACTATTGCGTTTTATACTTTATAAAAACCATACCCGTAATAAATTAAATAAAAAATATTGAATATATTATACCTGGAGTAAATTTCGGAGAAATATTTAAAATGTAATTATGATTTGTGAGTTAATATTATAATAAAGTTAGATTATTTTAATTTTGTGAATTCACAGATAATGAATCTAACTTAGTATAAGCATTTTTAAGGTACACTGTATTAATTTATTCTACGATATTTTAAGTGTGTTTAGTTTAGAAAATGTAAAGCATGAGTAATAGCTGTTTTTATTATAAAAATATATGACATTTACTATTAAAACTTAGCAAAATTAAATAGAACTTTAAAATAAAGTTGTTGTTAAAGAGTTTCATAAAGATATTTTATGGTTATATTTCTTAATTTTATATAAATTTTATTCAGTAGAGCGAAGTTATATAACAATGTGTAAAAAAATTTTGCTTTGTACGTTTCTATTAGTTTTAATAATTACATTCAAAGTATACGGTGCAAAAAATATGATACAAGGTGAGTTTATGTTATTATATTATATTAAAATGTGATGATGTTAAAAAATACTTTTTTAACAGTGTATAGTGTTATAACTTCTAATTATTAGTATAACTAAATGGTCTACTTTTATTAAATAGCGAAATAGTTGAATACAGTTGCGGATTTATATCTATAATTATTGATATCATTCAGCAATGTTACTTACATTAATTATTATATGGTTATTTATGAAAACCAATAAGTAATTTTAGCTTTAAATGAATCATCTACTATTGAGGAAATGTGAAATCTATATTTTCATGTTTAAATTCTCTTGGCATAGCTGTGTTGTAAGTTAAAATTGTTTTCGTCTTTTTAATGTCTTCTTATAATGGATAATATATAATTCGGTTACAGAAATATTATTAAAAAAATTAATTTACAATAATTTACTTAAATGTTAATATATTAAATTAAGTTGTGCACGAGTATAACAACAGTGTGCAATGTAATAATAAATTTAAGAAGAATACAAGGGTTTGGGGAGGTCTATTGATTAAATTTGTATGTTTGAATATTTGATCAAATTGATTAGCATCTAGGTTAGAGTTCGAGGTCTTACAACAATAAAGACAAGTAAATAAAAAAATAAGAAAACGTGTTACTCTTTGTTGATGTTTAATTATGTAGTTAACAAGTACTGTAAATTTTATGCTGAGGTATTCTTGACACCCAGTCGAAGAGTTAGCACAAGATAAGACACATGGATAATAATGATTGAGTTGGGATTTATAAATCTAATAATACAATGTGTACAGTAGTATAAGTATTATGACAGATAAATTAATTCTTTGTATATATGTTATATGTTAGACAGAATATAAAATTTTATTTCCTTTAAAATATGATTCGTGACTGAATAAAAACGAACTTGAAAAATAATTATAATAAATTCTAAATGTCGAAATATATAATATTTTACAGTGTATAAGAATGTCTGTTAACTTTGTCAATTAAATAATCACTATATGTATACTTGTTTATTTGTTTATTTTCAAGTTTACACACGCTCTTCTTACCAATGAATAATTTAACTGTGTTATAATTATAGATATATTTTTATCCTAGCAGAATAAAATCTGATAAACTAATAATATATTCTATGTTCAATCGCAAACGTTGTATGTCACTGTTTAAAAAAATAAAATTGTTAACTTTATAAGTTATTAGGAAATTATTAAGGAAAGTAATTAATATTTTATAAATAATGGATTATATTTAACTAAAAAAAACAATTTTTGTTTTGTATTTATTTCACAAGTAATTGAGTGGGTAATAATAAACGTATCTTTTTGTACATAAATATAAACTGAAAAAAGAAAAAATATATTTCTTGTGACGAACATTAAACACTTAAAATACATAATAATAACAAATAAATATTATATTTTCTACGAATTTTTTTTTATTTTAGATTGCTTAAAATGTGGAAGTGGTATTCCAGGTAATTATGTGAATTTGATATATTATTATTGTGTTATATCGTAGATTAAATTTATTTTGTTAAAAGAAAAATTATTTTAATCTTATGAAAATTATTATTTTTTGTATATATACCGAACACAAGCATTAATTAAGCTGAAGTTCAAAAAATTGTACAGAATTATTTATGAATTTACTTTAAATATATTTGTAATGTATGATATAATCACATTTTTTGTAGCAATTCTGATTCGTTATCAGTAACTATATATTATAGTAAAGTTCAGTTAGATTAAAAATATAATAATTTAATTGTGATTTTTATTTTAATTTAAAAAGTATATAATGTAACACATGTCATAGCGTAGTCGATATAAAAACAAATAGTTTACATGGCTAGTGGAATAGTTTGCAATGCACCTAATAAACTCAAACTTCAAGGTAACCTAAATGAAAACTGGGAGCGATTTAAAAAGTCATTTAAAATTTATATAATAGCTATTGGGTTTGACAAAGAAAATGATGAAAAAATGATAGCAACCTCACTGAACTTAATTAGTGTAGATACATTGGATGTTTATAATACTTTTAAAATTGAAAATTTAAAAACAATGAAATATAAGGACGTGATATTTTATACATACTGTAATTCAAAGTATAATATATTATATATAAGATTTCTATTCTATAATAGATGGCAAAAAAAAAAAGGAGAATCATTTGATAATTTCTTAACAGAAATCAAAACTTTATATGAAGTCTGCGAGTTTACAGATAAAGAAGAACTTCTTCGTGATAAACTAATTCGGGGGGCCAATGTTTCTGATACTCGTGAATGAGTAGAAAATTATAAAAATTAGAGTTTAACTTAAAAGAGGCTATAGAACATCTAAGATAAGCTGAAATTAGAAAAGTTCAAACTAAACAAATACTATCAGAAGGATAGACTGTTATTGTAGATGCCATTAAATACAAGAAAGAAAAACAATTTCAAAATAGTAACCAGTGTGTTGTGCATCACCAGTAGAATATAATTAAGGGCAAATTGATAAGGAATTTTTAGCAATTTATTTGCATGTATTATATTTGATCAAATTATTTATGACCAGAGAACTAACGTACAACCTGATAATTTACCACTGATTTCACTAATAAAATATATTTATCAAATTTCATGTTAAAAGTTACAACGAATTAAATTATAACTAAGTATATATTGAGGTAGTTCATGAACCAGGCAATAAAATGTTTATAGCAAATGCAATTAGAAAAGTATGTACAAAATAAAACAATGTTAGAGTAAATAATGGTTTTCATTGAATAAATATTAGAATAGAAATAAAAAACAAACTACAAGAGAAAACTAATACAGATTTTATGTTGCTGGAATTCAAAAATATGTTCATATAAGGATGGACAAAAACTAAAACAAAAGTACCTGAAAGTATTAATTTTTATTTTAATACAAGAAGTGATATCTATGTTAAAGAAGAATTAGTGTTCATCGAGAGTCACATAACTGTATCAAAATCAATGAGATAAATAATTCTGAATTAAGAACATGATTCACATATAGAAATAGTGAAGGTGAAGAGTGGAACAAAAATGTTATTTTATTGGAACAATACGAATACTGAAATAGAAAATATAATAAGCGAATGTAATGTATGTGAAAAATACAGTTATAATAAAGGAATTCCCTGGTTTTAATTTCCAAAAAATAAAATGTGATATATTTGATTATAAAAAACACTTATTTCTAATACTTAGAGGCTATTATTCAAAGTGGATTGAAATAATATAACCAAAAAATAGAAACTTTATAAAACTCTGAAAATTTCAAAAAAATATTAAAAAATAATTTTGCAATACATGGTAAACCAAATATTTTAAGAGCAGATAATATGCTGTTTAATGTAATCCAGATGAAAAATTTTAGTAAAAAGTGAAATTTCAAAATAAACGGTTCTAGTCATTATTATATAAGAAACATTAGATTTGCATAAAAATCTATAATAATAGCAAAACAAATTTAGAGAAAAGCAATAAGGTAAAAGTAGAATTACAATCCATGCTGATGGAATATAAGAGTTTGCAAATTTCAGGAATAAATATATCACATAGTCAATTATTATTTAGTAGAATATATAAGACTAAATTGCCAATACGAAATGAATTATTGAAACCAAAGGTAATAAATAAATATAAAGAAAACATGAAATGTGGACTGAACTAAAAAATATTATGATAAAATGTAAGAAACAGAAAATTAATTATAAATCCAAAAATAAAAATAATTTTCGGAAAGAAAGACATATGAATACCCGCAGAAGTTGTAAAACAACATAATACACCAAGATCGATAATCTTATTAGATGAAAATAATAGAATTAAAAGGACAAATTAAAATAATATGAATATCTCAAACTCTTCAGGTAATATAGAGGAAGATTATTCAAACAACTACAAAACAATAAAATCCAATGACCAAAAATAAAAAGAAGATGAAAGCTTAGAACAAAATGAGATTGACGATTACGATATAAAACAATTTCTGTGGAAGTAAAAAAGAGGATAACAAGTATAGATTAAATAAATATTGTAGGAAAACTAAATTGCATAACTATATAAATATAAAAAGGATTAAAAATTATTTATTATTATTAGTATATTTTTCTTGTTTAAATTTAATCAGAAAAAAAAATTTGTTGATGTAATAGAGAGATGTAATGTATTGTACTATCACATATATGTCTTAGCATCAATGATTTGCTATCAGTATGTATCATAGCTTAGTTCAGATTTTAATGAAAAATATAATAATGTAATGATGATTTTTATTTTTATTTAAAAATATATTATGTATAATGTAATACATTTCAATATTTTAATTTAAATATTTGTTTTTGCATATTTAGATAACACAGATATTCAAAGACTAAAAGTTCCTTCTGCGCCTACGAAAGTAACGGATGCTGTGAAGTCATTAAGAAGCGGTAAATTTATATTTGGAGATGTAATTGATGATGTTATAAATTGTTTTATAAAAGAAAACAAGAAGGAAGACACTATTTTATACGTTTCGTCATATATCTATATTTGTGTTCGTGAAAAAAATTTTTCTCCTTTCATCGAATATATGACAAATTTAATAACTCAAGAAAAAACAATTATTTTAGTTAATATACACGTTGGTTCATCAGCTTTCAGTTATCATTGGGTTTTGGGAGTAATTAATTTGGTTTCAAAACAAATAATTATTTTAGATTCAGAAAAAATAATTAGAATAAATTTATATGAAATTTTACATTTCATAATGTGTACTTACTTTAATATAAGAACATTCTATGATAATTCAATACCCAAACCAATTGCGAGTGAATGGGAATTCATTCTTGCCAAAAATGCCATACGGCAATATAATTGTACTGATTGTGGTATTTATGTATGTATACATGCTTATCATTATATAACCAACGAGAACTTCTTTCGATTAAATTCAAATGATGGTAGACAATGGCTTTATTATTATTATAACATGTATAATGAAAATAAAACGTCTATCTTAAATGAAGGCTCTTCATCCAATCAAAATTCACTAAGTGAAGAAGATATAAACAATATTATTGAAATAACTAAGCAAGAGATAAAAAAGGTTGAATACAACCAAGTTCAATGTATAAATGTAGAATAAAATAAAAAATAAAAAAAAAATTGTTTTTTTGATTTTGTTATTAGATTATTAGATAGTTAAAATTAACTTTCTTTTATTATAATATTATTTAATATTCACATTATACACTTTTAGAATATTTTTAATTTTTAAAGAAGTATATTTATTTGTTACTATTTCTTAATTTATAAAATTTTAACAGACGTGACTAGTAAAACCCAACAAAATGGAATGCGTGTTTTATATATTAACTGTATTAATGAATAAAAATCAAAAAATTTATACAGAATGATTTTTTATTATACCCATTTTATTACTTACAGAATAAAAATTATTTAAACATGTTTTTGTTGGTTACCTTTAGTTATATATTATTTTTGAATTTTTAGCTATATAATTTTTTTTTTTGTTCATCCTTTATACCTTGTATGGGTGTCAGCTTTTTTTTAAATGGGAACAAATTTGCATATTAGATATACAATTTTACGCAGTATTTACTGTCAATTATGACTATCAATAGAAATAATTTCTTTATTGCCAGTTGATGTATTTATTAACTAAAAAAATTGTGCCGTATTACCTTTGATAATAAATGCTCCATATATACAAAAGTCAACGTCATAAAAATACAATTAGCTTGTTGTGTTTGTAATTCCTCATTTTATTATACATGTGTGTTATCTCAAAAATTCAAAACCTAAAAATTTGATATCTAATAAACGAAAAATCTTATATTAAAAATTAAAATGCCATTGACTATTTAAATAAACCTCAAACATATAATTAAATTCAAAGAATGTTTTTCTATTTAAAAAAACAAAATGTTCACCCTCAAAAGGTATTAGGGATAAACTTAAAAAGTATTACATAGCTAATAATTTAAAATATATATATATAAAAAAAGGTAACCAATATCAAAGTGTTTGCATTGTTTATATTAAAATATTAAAATATTTTTATATATTTATATATATATAAGCTTTTATTTTATATTTATCATAAATTATTTCTAAAAATTACAAAAATATAAATACAAAAAAAAAAATTGTATAAGAATTAGTATTAAAAAGATTATTAATTTCATAAATGTTTAATTGATTATAAATGATAAACTAATTTTATTTGTTTATTTATGAAGGATAACATAAAAAAAATACCAATGTTTGAAATGGTTTCTTTAATTATAATTTGCTTGTTTTATCTGGCAAGCTTTTGGCATAAATCTGGTGGTTATTTTCAATCCCATCAACGCCATATAGGGCTTGTTGTATTTATGCTAACTCATCGCCACCACTTGACACAAACTACATTTTCATTCATAACTACCCTTCCTTCGTTTAATAGTATTATCGTTATACTTCATCGAGCTGTATGTTTAATATGTTTTAAGAAAATAATATACCAATAATAATAAAAGTAATATACCCCCACAAAAGAATTCGTTTTCTGAGAAGCGCATAAAAATAACCGTTGCATTCATAAATTTATCCTGCATCCGTGCAATAAGTCACGATAAAAAAGTATACTGTCAACGGATGTATNTCATAAATTTATCCTCCATCCGTGCAATAAGTCACGATAAAAAAGTATACAGTCAATGGATGTGTTGTCTCTCTAATATAAAAATAGTATGAAAGAATGAACAGCTTTTTACACTCTAAGTAGTTGTAATTTTTATTCTTGTTGAAATAGCTCGGATATCACAATATAATTAACTAACCCATATACAATAATTCTGTAGTTGTATAAAAGATCCGCATAAGATTTTAGTAATTGTATGAGGGATGTTATACAAGATGATTATAATGGATTGTTTTGTAGACTTTTGTAACGTGAGGAAAATGAAAATTATGATAGAACGTGTAAATGATATTCATATATACCGTACTGTGTATAGTATATAGAAGGGAATAAAATTTCCTAATAAATATGTTTTCTGAATTAATAATGAAAACAAAACTTCTTAATAATTTTTGTTGAAATTTTATTAACCCAATCCTTTTTATTCTGAAATCCTGATTCTTATTTCTAATATATTTGAATTAAATTTATTATTTGGTTTTTTAAAATTACTGAAAGAACACTGATTTTGACGGAGAAAAATGGCTTTTTATAGTCAGAAGGACGTAGTCTAAAGATCCCTAGCGTAATCTTGGAAGCTGAGGCTTTCTATTCTAATGGGTTAATTATAATGGGAGCCCTGCTTCTAGACATTACTTAGAAATCTTTCAAATATGTAGATGTTGCTGATTACTTCAACAAGATACGTTTTGTTATCTTTTGATTTATTTTTGAGCAAAATCTGTCGATTAGAAGTAGAATAATAGTGTATAATGACACAAGAAATAACGTAGCAAAAAACATAGCAGAGTACAACCAGGAAGTAGATTTTAATTCTAGTCATATCTATATTTTTTTAGGGATTATTTCTAATTAAATTAGTATAAAAAACTTTAGCAAAATATAACTTAATTACTCTAAAATCGAGAAATTTTGAAACCTATTTGTTTTAAATTTTATTTATTAATTGTAATGACATTAACTGTGTTGTAATACATCTTTATTTTTTAGCATACTATTTTGTAGTAGTTATTAATCGATATTTAATTCTTTGATAAATATAACCTAATTATAACATAAACTACAAATAATTAGTTAAATATAAATGTTTTATTAACATACAAAAGTATAATATAAAAGGTTTTATAAAATGACATAGTATATTGTATTGTAGTTTTAATTATTATTTTATAAATGTGTATTTAACTTTTATTCTTAGTTTTAGTTTAGAATATAAATGTAAGTAAACATTACGGATCGTATGTCCAATTTATACGACTCAAGCATTAGCTCTTCTCAAAGTAATTCAACAAATAACTAATAAGGAACACAAATTACATTATAATATGCGACTTATTCAGTACCATCAACATTCAATTTATTCATCAATAGAGCATCTAAAGTTTTTTAGTACCTCCTAATAAAATTTAATATTGTACGTTAATTGTATTAGTATAAGTATAATTTCCATTTTTTTTTTTTTTGATGTTTCAATGATTTCCTAAATTTATTAATGTAGACTATGCTTGTTTTAAATTATCTAATTGTTTAGGCACTTTCTATTCATTAAGTTTATTGAATTATCTACAGAATTAAGATATTTGTGTTCAAATATAAATGTTATATACCCTATTAGATATGAAAGGCTATACTGCTCAAATAAAACAAACGGATTGTATTCATTATCATGCAAATCAATTGATACTCGACTTTTTTTACTTTAATTAAAAATAGGTATTACCTCCAATAATAATTATAAGCCATTTGATTCAGTAGTTTTTCAAATAGGTTTAGTGTACCATGACTATGAAAAGCCAACATAATTATTAGTTTCCTGGAGAATTTTGTGGCTTATGATATTGATTTATATGAAAAAGATATTTCTCTATAGAACAAAGTTTTTATTATTCATTATATTGTGGAATAGNACAAAAATATAAATACAAAAAAAAAAATTGTATAAGAATTAGTATTAAAAAGATTATTAATTTCATAAATGTTTAATTGATTATAAATGATAAACTAATTTTATTTGTTTATTTATGAAGGATAACATAAAAAAAATACCAATGTTTGAAATGGTTTCTTTAATTATAATTTGCTTGTTTTATCTGGCAAGCTTTTGGCATAAATCTGGTGGTTATTTTCAATCCCATCAACGCCATATAGGGCTTGTTGTATTTATGCTAACTCATCGCCACCACTTGACACAAACTACATTTTCATTCATAACTACCCTTCCTTCGTTTAATAGTATTATCGTTATACTTCATCGAGCTGTATGTTTAATATGTTTTAAGAAATTNGTAACAATATCATCATTACATTCAAACCATTGTCCCGACTTGAAATCTTTTATGTATGAGTAATAGTGCCCAAAAGTGGCTTTTCCTTTATGAATGATCACTCCGTATAATTCAAATATGGAATTATAGCCATTCACATCCATTGAAATGAAANAATTATAGCCATCCACATCCATTGAAATGAAAAATGGAAAAGATACTCTGACAAAAAAATTTCATACAAAAATTCATAACAATGTTTTTTTACGTTTATATAAACATTACGTACTTGTCTTTTATTTTTTCAGGCTTTAGACTATTTATGTTATAACTAATCCTACCTAGATGAAAACATAAAATATATGGGAGCTCTTTAAATTGTTGCCCCTTTAGAAATTTGCTTTTTTTTCCACAAATGTCACAAAAATGTTCGTCTAATATTTCAGGTCTTAAATATTGTTCTATTGCATATTCCTATTAGTCAAGTATTTTAATATAAAAAACAAATTTATTAATTTAACTTTAATTTTGCTTTTTCTACATTACACATATAAATATAATACGGTTCATATATATTTACCAGCGAGTCATATGATGTCTTTCCATCAATAGAGCGAATAGGCAGAGAAATATCAAAAAATGTGGAATACTGTTCTTTACTTATATTGCACATAGTACAAGTAAGGTATTCGACCTGAATGCCTGAAACATGATAATGAATAGTAAACACGATGAACTAATAAAATACTAATCAAGTCTAAAAAAACAGTCATGTTTATTTTTATAGTAAATACATTATACTTGCCACTGAATAGATTACTAATCATGTTAGCGGACGATGAAAGTTTCAACTTCTCGTCCAAGATGCCCAAAAAATAACGACCAAACTCTTGGACGTCTTGCTGGATATCTGTGTCCTCCTGAGTCCAATCAAGACTTTTTGTTAAGCCATTAGTCTTGACCGCCGATGTGTCAGGTCCAAGTAGTTCTACAAAAAGCCTTTGAAGTTGATAAGCTACGTTAAACCAATTGTCGTCACCGGAATCATTAGGGAATGTCAATTCCAACAACTCGTTACGAAACTCCGGCGTATGGAACATGACTTGGATGAAAGAATTTAAATAACAAGTGGCCCCTTGGTTTTTAATACCACGGCACACTGAAAAATAATTTATAAAGTATTGGCTATAATTGAACATTTTTCTTTACCAAATACATATTTTAAAAGTTAAACTGTTATTACCTGGCGAAACATTTTTAGCTTCAGTTTTTGGTGGTAGACTAAACAGTGGTTTCTTTGGTTCTTGGTTCTTTTGCGGATGAGTTTCCACAACTTTTTCAACACTTTGGGTAGATTTTAAAGTGTTGAATACCGTAGACCAAGAATATATCTAATTTTATAATTATAATTAACTTTATTAGAAAAAATTCAAAATGTGGATTAATAAGTTTAAAAATTATTGATGTTAAAGTCTTATATTGGTGATTGCGTTATTTAACTCTCTTTAGGGAAACGCAATTATGTTATTATCAAAATACAGCTATTCCATTGATTATTCAACTTTAAACTGGTAATGTAATTATAATAATATTAAAAACCATAATATACGTGCTTTAAGCTCATCAAGATTTGATGGAATCGTCAAATTTACTATCTCTTCTTTTATCGTTTTCTTAATTTCGGGTTTATTATTACTATTAACTTTAGGGCTTTTTTCGTGGTCTGATTGTTTTGCATCAGGTTTGATGCAGATACAACAGAAACACTTTTTATATGTTTGCTGTAATTGATTTTTGCTAAATGTCCATACACTGCTCTTTTTATTAGTTGCTAAAGTTCGTTAAAGAATTAAGCTACAAACTTTTAGTTTTAATTTTAATTACTTACATTTTTTCGAAGATAATTTTTTTACACGAGTCCATGTTCCTTTCAGTAACCCGAATAATGCTTTACTTTTATTTAATGTATTGTGAACAATTTTTAAACCCATTATACGTTTAATAAAGACAAGATCTAATCTTTTATTAAATAAATTTCCTTAGATAATGTTTTATTTTTTTATAAAAAATGGACTTTATTAATAGTAGTAAATTTTTTTTATACTTACTATGATTATACTCAGGGGTGATGATTTTTGCATGAGAATACAATTTTTTAAGTTTTATAAGGACGCGCAATATAGTAAAACAAAAGAATTAAGCTTTACGAAATTGGACTGTTAATGTTATTATTTGTACTCAATTAATTCATTTATTTACTGGACTATCACCAAGGATTTCAATTTTTTATATAACCAGTAAATTTTTTTTTAAACTAAGTGAGAATGATTTATGTAATAAACTTCAAAAAATATATTATTATTATATTAAAATAAAAGTATAACAAATACGGAATAATTTTTTAATTTTGACCCTTTCGATTATATTAAAAGTTCTATAAAAAATATTTTTATAGAACTTTCGAAATTAGTTAATTGCACTGAAACTTTTATTTTACAAAATATTTACTATATACAAGATAATTAGCTACAAAATGTTGTCTCTAAATTTAGCATGTATAAAAAACCTATGAGAATACATAGATTCATTGGGGACACAATTAGCAATAGGCGATCTATAGTTCAAATATGTCGCCAAAAATATTGACCCATTATATTGATTCACAACATAGGTATTTTTATTTTATATTTCCATTATTGTCTCTTTATANAGGTATTTTTATTTTATATTTCCATTATTGTCTCTTTATATATAGAAGAACTTGCTTAATTGTACACGTTATTTAACGTTTTAAGAAATTACAACATTTGAAATCAGAAAATATTTACATATTTAGAACTCTTTTTAATTAAAACCGCCATAACTTTTTGAAAAACAAAAATTTTTTTTTTATTATCTTTAGTTACACATTATTCTTGAATTTTTTACTATGTAATACTTTTTAAGTTCATCCCTTATGCCTTGTAAGGAAGTCAACTTTTTTTAAATGGTAACACATATTTTTAATTTAATAAAATGTTTGAGTTTTTAATTTAATAGTAAATGGAATTTGAATTTTTAATATAACTTAATTCGTTTATTAGATATAATCATTTAAAGTTTCAAATTATTGAGTTAATATACAGGTATAATACACAAGGTATTACAAATATAGGTAGCTAATTGGTTTCTTATGACATTGCTGTCACAGTCACGGATTGTTTATTATCAATTATAACTATCAATAGTTATACTTTTTGTATAGTCAGTTAGTATATTTATAAACTCACAACAATGTACCTTACTATCATTGATAATAACAATGCTGTGTACCCGTTAATATCGATGTCATAAAAAATCAATTAGCTACCTGTATTTGTAATCCCTTGTGTATTATACCTTTATATTAACTCAAAAGTTTGAAACTTTAAATGTTTATATCTAATAAACAAATAAAGTTATATTAAAAATTCAAATTCCATTTACTATTAAATTAAAAATATGTGTTACCATTTAAAAAAAAACAAAGTTGACCCCCTTGCGAGGCATAAACGATGAACTTAAAAAGTATTACATAGTTAAAAATTCAAGAATAATGTGTAACTAAAGATAATAAAAAAAAAAAAATTTTTAAATTATTATTATTCTGAAAGTAATTGAGTGGGTTATGATAAAAAAATCACTCTGTATACTGTAGGACGTGAAAGGGGGCTAAACTCTTTATTTTTTTATTGAAAAATATTTATATTGAATTTAGACCATAACAACTTATAAAACTACATTATTTTAAAATATCTGGTAAGGAGAGTACACTGTTTTTCTTAAAATTTTATAAATTTAAACCTACATTGCATAAAATATTAAACTTATTTTTAATTTGTTGTTTTTTTTAAGTTGGGAATAATCAACATTGAAATTTTGAACTAACAAAATGTCCTTTTTAACATCCAACAAATGTGTTGAGCGGTTGCCTCGAAAGTAACACTTATGTTTATACACACGTGATAACAATGATGAATTAACCGATCCTTCCTTAGTCAATGTACTCGTACTTTTTGTAATTTTTTCTTAATGTTTATTGAGTATAAGAAAAAAGTTTCAAAATCGTATGATTTTTATCTTATGTAGATTGAGTTCATATAACTTCAATGAAAATCATTTATTTTTCCATTAAAATAATTAAAATCATTAAATTCTAATGTTTTTAATGTATATATTTTTGAATTAGATATGATATAATAATGGGATGGATCTGTTCAATTAAATAATTGTATTTTATTATTTATTAATTTCTTATAAAAGCCAATTTTTTCCCTAAGAAATCACAGGTTAAACTTATCTAATCGTAATAATAATTTGCAACGAGACCTTACCGAATCGAAATACAATAGTTAATCTATTGTATTTTAAATCGATAAAAAACTCTTAACGCTATCTATTTTTATTTAGGATTATTTTCTTTATTATTATTATTATTATTTGGCTCATATGGAATTTTTATACTAGTACGAACTGTTATATATCCGGCACAACACTATTTTTATGTTAAACAATTTTGTGACATTTTTCCTGTTGCTACCACTAAATATTAGATTAAGTTTAGGCCTAGTCAGACTGAGCATAGTTTTACCTGTGATGTGTTGTTAAATTTCATTTTGACTTAGATTTTTTTAGGTTATCATTGATTATTAAAAAATTAATTAAAATAGGAATATTTTTATTACAGCATCTTTTTAAATTTAAATAGTTACATAAAAATGATGACAATGATATTTTATCTAAACTTATAAATAAAAAACTATTAATCAAGATATATTTATAGAAATAAAATTCAAATTATATAAGATTTACAAAGAAGAATTTTTTATTTAATCACTGTCAGATATCATCTAGCATACTTGTTGCAAATATGCCAAGCCTCACTATACCACGACTATACTGTGATACTGTTATTTTTTTTCTTAAACACTATGAAAATTGTATTATATTTTTATATTATTACAGATCAAATTAAGTAATATAAGTTTAAATAAAGTAGGTAGATGTCACTTCATAATCTATATCATCTTTATAAATCATAAATATATATTTACTACAATGGAATATTTTTAAGTTACTTAGATAAAGTTTGTAATAAAATAAAACTTGAGTTTATAGGTTGTACGAATAAATGAAAATTTACATTATTACTTTTTGGTGTGCTAGTTCCTTTTTTATTTTTGCATTCAATTGTATGTAATTTCATTTTATACAATTAAAATTTATAATTGTGTTTTATGTCAATTATAAAATATACCGTCTAATATAGAAGTAAAATTCATGCAGCATAATTTTTACACGGAAATCAAAAAAATTGGTATTAGANATTTTTACATGGAAATCAAAAAATTGGTATTAGAAATAAAAAATAACATCATATATTAGGATTGAAATAAATTTCAATCATATATTTGTACATTTATTAATATTAAAGCTTTGTGTTGTAGTAAATAGCTGAGGAAGTATTGAATAACGTCGATTTTAGTATAATATAAAATTTACAAGAGTAGTAAATATTTTTTGAATTTTCAAGCAATATAATAGTGTCGTAAAAAGGGAAAAGCAGGGTAAGCAAATTAATAATGGTGGGAAAAAGAATATACAAGGGAAACATGTAAAGTATAGTGGGACTGGCGCTTTGACGAAGAAACATCGAGTTAGGACATTTGATGCGAGTAACTTTGTAGTTTGTACGATTTAATTTATTTTATGTTACATTTTATATTAAATTTTGACTTTGTGCTTATTACGTCTCGTAAATAAAATACCATTTAAAAACCTGCACTTAGCTTAAATATTGTATATCCACCATACTGTTAAAATTGTGTGTGTGTGTGCAGCAAGAGTCGAAGTTGGACTGCTGGCCTTTAGACGATCTTAATAATTAGTGTGCGTGCTGGCTAGTTTTTGGGTTTCATCTTCTTTAGTAAGTATAGTGAAAGGTAGTTGTGCTGGTGGCTTACGAGAAGCCACCTTTCAGTCTGCTACTTTTGAGCTAGACCGTGCTGATGGATCTAAACTGTACCCCTTTAGTTGTTCACTAATTTGAGGGATTGGGGCATACTAGTGTATCGAACGGGAGGACTAGATAAGGGCTAAAAACGACGAACTCGTCATCAAAAAACATTTATTAATTTGTGTACTACTTTTTGTGTCTACGTCGGGGTACTACCGACGTACGTCAGTGTTTATTGAGTAATAAAATAATACTATTACTAAGTTTATAAGACTTTTAATACACGAATTTGTTAAAATATGAGAATTGTAATATTTTCAATATTTATATTACAATTAAATTAAACAAACGGGTTAAATAATTGTTAAGTGCATATTTGCAAGATAATTTTTAAATTTTATATTTGAATGTATAAATGATTAATAACATTTTATAAAGTTAAAACTAAAAAGTTGTAGTTTTTAATAACTTACACATTTCTAAATAAAATCTTAAAATTAAGTTTAAAGAAACTACGATTATATGTTTCATTATGATGTTGATTCAATATGATAATTTAAAATGTATAATACAGTAAGTGTGGTGTTATTTATATTATAAGTGAACCGCGGTAATTTACTCAACAGTGAATACAAGGATAACAAATTAAAGTTTGTTGAAAATTTTTTAATTTATATATTTATATATATTTTGTTATTACCACTTATTCTCAGCTCTCATAGAACTGTTTTTTTTAACGATTCGTCAAAAGATCACAAATCGTGTCTAGTTGAAGATGTTACACTCAAAAATTGTAATACTTTCCTACGTTCCCCGTAAGTAGAAAAACTCTATAAGCAATTTTTTTTTTTTTTATAGATAACTTAGGTATTTAAATATTATTTGGTATGTTTCTCTGAATATCTCTACCTTTACCTGTCCCTGTAGGGGATTCAAAATGGAAACATTTACATAAAAAATTTACTTTTTCAGCATAACTTTTGTAAATATTCCAGATTCTGACACTTTTATATAAGTACAGTGGAGGCTCGTGGCTTATTCGACGGTACAATCACACCCCTACTAAAATTAATTAAAAGAAGAAAATTAATTGTATATTCGTAGCTTCTACATTTTTATCAAAAATGCAAATTTTTGAATAGTTAAGTAGTTATAATACATTTGTCGTGTGCGATCATTAATGTTGTTTCCCTCAATATATGCGAGTACTCGCATACACAAACACTGTTTGGACAACTGGCAGCCTCAGCAATGCAGTAAAGTTTTATTATAACACTATATTACGTGTAGTCAGTTATTTATTCGTCTTTATTCGTTTGCTATAAAATTATTATCGCTATTATTATTATTTTTATTTGTATTTTCTACTGTGTCCATTAAAATAATAATATGTGTATTGTGTTTTATTTTAGATTCGATGCAAAGGTGAGAAGGTATTCATTTACTATGATGAGTTTCATTTTGTGTCTTTTACCACTTTTTCTCAGCTCTCACCGAATGGATTTCTTTCAACGATAAGTCAAAAGTTCACAAATCGTATCTAGTCGAAGAAATTACCCTCAAAAATAGAAAAACTTTCCTCAGTTTCCCGCAAATGGAGGAAACCTCCAAAAAAATTACAAATTTAAAAATGACCGAATAACTTTTTTACAAATGAACATATCAATATAATTTTTTTATTTATAGATGCTTGATGACTTTACCTATCATTCAGTTTATTATTTTTATAAATTTAACCCTTTTAAATTGACAACTTTTTCACAAAAAATGTATTTTACCCTTAACATTTGTAAGTGTTCCGGAATGTCTGACACATTTACATATATCTTAAATTATAGCTAATGTAATATAATTTATTATGGAAAAAGAAGATTTCGACTTTATTTTGTCTTCACAGTCAAAATGGTTACCGAATGCTATTGTTGTGTGAAAGTTCTTGATTTTATTTTTTACATTTTTAACTTAATTATAATGCTATAACTCTTTGAAAAATGTATGGATCAACATAATTTTTTTATGAAAAATAATATTTTTTAATAATCCCTTTTTTATTTAACATACTTTATCTTAACCAGGATATTAATATGGAAATAGTATATCATGTAGCTTTTGGAATAATCCATCAACTTTTTAAAATTAAATACTATCTAAAAATTTGCATCGTAGCGTTTTTTTTTTTGATAGTGATTTTAATCACTGTCATATAAGTATACTACTTCCAACTATGTCATGTCACTACTGTGACGCGACCCCCTGTGATGGGTTTTTTTACTTAAAACTTTTTCAAAAATGACCGAATCAATATAATTTTCTTATAAAGATACGTGAGGTACTTACCTATCATTTGGTGTATTTTTTTTTATAAATTTAAGATAATTCCCTCGTTCCCCGCAAATGAGGGAAATCTCAAAAAAAATTACAAATTTAAAAGTCGTTAGTTTTTAAAAATTTTTTAATTTTTTTTACTTAAAACTATCATAACTTTTTTCATACATACATGAGTTATTTACCTATAATTTCGTATTTTTTTAATATTAACTTAACACTTTACCTGCCCACAGGGGGGTTTTAAAATAAACAACTTTTTAATAAAAAATTACCTTTTTCAACTTAACTTTTGAAAATGTTCCGAAAAGTGTTACACTATTATATATATCTTAAATTAAAGCTTATGTAATATACTTTATCATGGAAAAAAAAATTTTGTTTTTACGGTGAAAAAAGTTACCAAATGCTATTCTTGTGTGAAAATTCTCAATTTTATATTTTACATTTTTAACATTATAACTTATTGAAAAGTGTATGGATCAATAAAATTTTTTGATGAGAAATAATATTTATATCCCTCTTTCAATCGACATACTTTATCTTAATCGGGATATAAATAAAGAAATAGCTGATCATGTAGCTTTTGTAATAGTCCACCAATTTTTTAAAATTAAACACTATCTAAAGATTTGCATCGAAATCTTATGATTATATGATAATCATAATTTATGATAATGATTTTAATCACTGTCAGAAACCATTATACTTGACCCAACTATGTCACGTCATCACTGTGCCGCGACCCTCCTGTTCTTGATTTTTTTTAACTTAAAACTTAAAACTTCCATTTATTATTTAATTTTTTATACCTATTAATATATTTAAGTCCAAGAATTGATTAACTAGAATTTCATAAGCAATAAAAGATTAATATTATTAAGGCAATAAGAATTTTTTAATACACGAATTTATTAAAATAACAGAGTATTTTAATATTTTTTAGTAACTCTTAAATAATTAATCTACTTAAATTCTGGTCATTGGTGAGATTTTGTATATCTTGTATATACACTTCTCTTTGAACGCTCATATATTTTTTAAACAGTTGTTCATATAATAAATGTCAAACACATTTTTTAAAGAAAATAGAAATAAATTTTAAAGTTTATAGTAGAACATTATAAATAGGAATAACGTTTATTAAATGTGTAATCCTAAAATGCAGTAGTTTTTAATAATTTACATATTTTTAAATACAATTTTATAATTTAGTTTAAAATACCTGTTCTCATTTGTTTCGTTCGTTTAAGATGTTGATTAAAAGTAATAATTTAAATTGTGTAATTATAGTAGTTGTAGTGTTACTTTTATTACAAGTGTACCGTATTGATTCGCTTAACACTGGATACAAGGATAACCAAATAATATCTGTCGAAAATATTCATCTTTTAAAATGTTCTTATTTATTAAATGCTTTAAACTATATGCAAATAGCTAGAATAGAAATACATCATACGAATTTTATATTAATTAATGCATGTTACCCAGTATCACAATATCTTGGTGTTTTGAAAAAAATGATGAAGACGCTATTTGGCTTTAAAGGTATTGAAATAGGTTCTCTCTGGTTATTAAATATGTATTTAGGTATTGTTAGTCATCATGTACATAAGTTAAAAGAATTAAAAAAAATGGGTTGCTCTGTTGAATATGAACAAACATATCTTGAAAATACTCATGACTATGTCATAGTTGAGTTAGAATCAGAGGTTTCAACAATGAAATGTAACAAAGAAAACAACAAATGCCTTATTATACAAAAAAACGCAATAAAACAATTAGAAAACCAGCCTTTAAATGTTATACGTAACATAATGACTAGAGTTACAGAAATCATGGACAGATTTATTTTGAAGAACACTGATTTATCCATCAAAAACTACGAGATGTTTAGTAAAAACAATATCCTTATTAAAAGTATAGGGCACAATGCACACAGAACTATTTATTTAATGAATGAATACAACGTACAAGTTAATTGGGGAGAAAATGATAAAGGTACTATGCAGATTTTACAAAAAAAATACGAAAAGACCCATAATCTCAATTGGAAGGACAAAAATCTGAGAAATATTAAAATATACTACGATTCAGTTTTTAGCTTTTTTAAAATCATTATGTTAAGGCTAACATGGAAACATTTATTATACGTAAATAAACAACAAAATGAATCTATTAAGATAGAATTGATTAATAAATGGTTTGAGATACTTGATGAATTTGTGAAGTTCTTTCGTTTAAAAGATGATGATTATGTATGTAAGATAAAAAAATCAATTAATGTTAATCATGACGCTGTTATTGAGCTCCTCAAATCATATTTAAACGACTTATGTTGTGATTTAAAGTGTAATGCTATAAATGAAATGAAATTGAACGGCGAAGAATTTCCCACTAAAGAAAGTACAATAATTCACAACGAATCAGATGTAGAAACTGTTAAGTATTATAGTTTGGGAGCAGCTAAAAAATTTATCATTACTACAAAAAATCTATTTACAGATAATGACTTTAATGTTGTGAAGTCATTTATTGATTATGCGGAAAAGAATCAATTTTTTTTTCAAGCTGTGAAAATAGTTGATTATTTATTTTCATAATAATAACAATTTCATAAAGAAAACATTTAAGAATTTATTTGTCATAGAATTATTTCTTAAAGCACAATTTTGCAAAACATCAAAATTTTATACAGAAGTTCAGCAGTTATTAAAATGATTATTTTTATATAACTTTTTACAGATATTCAACAACATTTAATTTTTGTAAAATTAAAGAAAAACTTACAATTTTTGTGTAAAAGTAGTTTTATTACTATTTAATTTACTATTAATAAAGTAGTTTTATAAATAATTAGTGTATACTGCAAGGCATATTATGAAAGGGTGTGAAAGGGGACCAAATTCTTCGGTGTTTTTTCGAAAATATTTATAAAGTAACTTTTTTATATATATATATGAATACCTTACGTATTTCCTCTTCATTTAATATAAATTTTATGATAATTTAACACTTTATCAGCCCACAGGAGTGATTCAAAATATCAACTTATATTAAAACTCATCTTTTTCAATTTTGAAAATGTTTCGGAAATACTGCGACCTTTAAACATGTGTCAAATTAAAACTTAATTTCTTAAAATTAATACAATCTACAGATTTGGATTGAAGCGTTTCTTATGACTTAAATGATTTTAATCACTGTCAGATATCATCTATTCTTGTCCCAACTATGCCACGATCCCACTGTGCTACTGTTTTTATATTTATAAATCGAAGAATTACTAATCAGGAATAATGAAAGCAATAGGAATTTATTTTGCTTTTGGTATAATCCATCTATTTTTTAAAATTAAATACTATCTACAGATTTAAATCGAAGCGTTTCTTATGGTATTGATTTTAATCACTGTAATATATCATCTATCTCAACTATGCCACGTTCACATTATGTCACGACCCCACTGTACAACAGATTTTTTAAAAGACTCATGATTAAAATAATAATCATGTAATGTTTAATTTTATTACAATAAAAATATATTCACTAAAAAATGATGTTACTTGTTGAAAGTTTGTAAGATATGATAGCGTCAAAAAAATTCAATGGATCATTTTATAGCTGTGATGTACCAGTGGTCACACTGATCACTCACCTGTACAGGGGTATAGGTGATATTGTTATTGTAAATGTTTTAGTTCATATTAAACGGTTATGGAATAAATATGTGCAAGATATCTGCTTTTACCCTACGTCTACACATAACAATAGCTAACATAACTTAACCAAAATTATAAATTATAAATCAAGCGTCAACGCGACTCTTAGATTTTCAGATCAATTTGACGCGGTACCGTATATTTTGCGATACGTTTAATACACGGTCACCTCGTCTCTTTGTCAGCCGCCTTATTACATCGCGAGCTCAGCCTGATTAGAGTACCCCTGCTATCTACCTAGGGTGCAACGTCTATCTACTGGAGTGCGGTCGACCACCGAGCGCCGGCAGTAAACGCTCTCTCTTGTCTTTGACGTTCTACGTGAACTATCGCTCTCCGTCGATGCGCGTCGTACATTGAAAGGTACGTTGATATCTATTACAAAAAAAAGTCAAAGTTGTATTTCATTATTATTTTTTCCTTTAGTTTAATTTTAGATAAATATACGTATATTTATTTAAATTTTTATCCTCTCGGCCAGTGCTGTAGAATTTATTATTTAGACATAAAAAGTAATATTGGTAATTGGTTATTTTTTTCAATGAACATATTTTTTTTCTTCTCTCTAATATAAATTAAAAAGTGACAATATGAATTTCATGATGAATTAAATGGAAATATTCAGTGGTGGCTCGTGAGTGCTAGTGGTGAGGGTGCGACATTAAATATAATACCACTAGTTATAGTTGTCATAATACAAATAAAACACCAACGGTGGACGACAAAGATGATGATGAATCTGCTGTCTAGGTGTTCACGTGCGTGTGATCATACAGCAGTTATCGTGCTCAGCTGATACTCCAAGTTAGTTGTGGGTGTTTAATGGCTATTGTATAGGAATGGAATAAGGGTAACACTTAGG